TTCTGAATCACGAGAGCATGAAGAGTAAGAGGGTTAATCCCTCATACAGGCCCGGGGAATCCCTCTCCGTTGTTTTTATATAACTCCCGTCTCCCGGGTTCGGAAATCCCAGGGGGTTCTAGAGCTAGCCAATCCTATGATATATATGATGTCGCTTTTGCTCACGTTAACAGCCCAAGCGGCTTAACGTGCGCATTTCCATCCTACACGAAAACATCCATTCAGCGCACGTGGTAACATTATCCGCGTAAGAACTGGGCACAATGTCTTAAAAACAACTTATGGGATAACCTTGTGAATAACGTCTTTAGAGAGGAAAACTACCTCACTCTTCATCGTCTCCTGATCTCAACTTGAACCAAATAAATCGTCTCTGATCTATCAAGCCGGATGATGATTTTTTTTTTTTTAATTGAATACTCAAATCAACCAAAGACTGTTTTTTTTAATGTTATTATTTTTTTCGCTCAGAAGAGCACAAACTGTTTCTTTTTTACCTCAATGGAGCACAAAAGAGCCCAACCAACCCAAACCAGTAATGACCGCAACAGAACATGATCTATGGTAGTTAATTGTATCGAATTTAGGAAGGTATATTGGGTGGCTAGTTACCCCCCGTTACCCCCTCTTGGGGAAAAAGGTCGTGAGTATTTTGGCAGAAATAAAGGCAGACCTCAGGGCAGCCACCTCATCAGGGTAATTTCTAGTTTGTGGCATTTGCTAGTACTTCTGGTGTAACAGATTTAAATTTGGTTTCAGTTCTCAAATTGCAACATTTTGAGGGTATGGTCCATTGATTCTGTGACCCCGAAGCACTAGCCACCTCCCTTGAAAAATCCTGGATCCGCCTCTGACATTCAAGAAACTCGGTGCAAGATACGTACCTCGAGAATCATTCCTCATGCGCGCGTGAACATTTTATGCTTTTATGCTTTTCTTTTTCGAATTCGCATATCGTTATTGTAATTCATTTACCGGGAGGAAACAGCAAGGACGGCAGAATATGGGCATTGGTTTTTTTTAACTGCCTGTTTAGCCCCTCGCCGCACGCTAATCAATAATCTGTTCAGAACGTTATTGTACATGACCGTCCACATACTGACAGAAATGAGTGAGGAAGTTGCACTACCGTCGCTGTTTATTTGAATTCGAAATCCCCAATTAAATTTCCCGTGAAATGCAATTTTTTATATGTTTAGTTTCCCTTCCGAAATTCAATAATTCCTCTGCCATTGAGGTAAAAAAAGACTACTTCCGGTGAAAATTCATGAATATAATACACAACACATTTCAGTGGTCTCGGAATCGACGTGATCAGTGTAAGCAGAACTTTCTTTGTTTGGGGTTTCGAAAGGGAAGTTCCTCCTGCGGTATTTTTACAGTGTATTATTGACCCCTGAATGAGGTAATTTAGTGAAAAATTTAGGGCAAAATCAACAAAGTGAACGCGTCAGTCACCCTTTTTGTGGACAAAAAAGCATCGAGAAGTAACGAGCATTATTTGCAGTGATAACTGACCAACAGCAGTTTGAATGTTACGAAAAAGAGTCTGAACTATATATAAAAAATATTCACTGTTTAATCCCAATTTTTAAAACCTAAGGCCCTCATTCTCATTGTTTCAGTGATTATAAAATGCGTTAAATTCGGCTTGTATTCATTTCTGTCTTCTAATGTTCACCTTAAACTTGAAATTCAACGACTTAGAAACGAAATCAATATTTATAGTTACCAGAAATAAATAGCTGTTACGCTACTCAGGTCGATCCATATTATGACTAATATATAGCCTAAGGCTAGAGGAAATAAAACGGAAAGGAAGCCACGGCTTAGTAATTTTACTTGTCGTCCAGTCTCAACTCAAATTACTACACTGCTACCTGTTAGAATTCCAATGTCTACCGTTAAACAGACATACGTTCACATTGCGAACATAGAAGTCACAGAATGACCTTTCTTCACGGAGGTCCCGAAATCCGGTGAGTCGTGCTATAACGCAGAGAATGTTGACTCGTTAAACCTGTCGACAGTAGACGTAGGCGGACGGTGACAGAGAAAACAGGAGGTGTAACATTTCGCCTCTTACCAATCACGTCAGGGCGACGTTGTCGGCCACCCGTGAAAAACGTGCATCATACGAGGAAATGATTTAACGCGAACTAACACGTACGAACGCCATGACAAGGACTTATCATACGCACTCTTGCAAGAATTTGTGAAGTTTTTACACTTGGTCGAATAAGAACAATTTCAGCTAGAAGGAACTTCGTTGAGGTGAGTAGCATTTTCCCCCTATTTCAGTCTAAACAAGCAATGAGAAACAAAAAGTTATTTCGCCAAAAAAAAATTTATCGATATGTCGGACCACATTACGTGTTTCGCAGACCGTATTTTTAAACTCGTAAGTTCGCAAACACAATCGCTCTCTGGCTAGTATTAGGTCACTTGAACGTTTTAGAGGGCTCCGATGTGGAAGTTGAGCAGGTGGTGTAGTAAATCACCATCTGTTAGGGAGTTCTGACAGGTGGAATTTATTTCAACGCTATATCTTCAGCTGTATCTTGGCCATAACTTTAAATTTCTTGAACTCAAGTAAGCACAACGAAAACCTAAGCATCTACTATACCTAGAAATCAGTTCCTTCGTTCTTAAAACTGTGATAATTAATTTTGACGCTGTTATGGTAACTTCAGTCTTATAACAAATTGCTAATAATAACTGTGATCCTAATTCCATCGCATTAACCGTGGAATGTCTCTGCAACTGACTACCCGACCATGAAAAACGCGAGTAAAGGCTGATCTAAGGGTGGGGAGGGCGGGGAGGAGTTGGAAATTCATATTAGCTACCAGTACGATAAAAAACCTTTTAAATGAAAGAAAAAAAATAACTCTCAGCGAACAAATCTTCTCTTGTCATTCTGCGCCCTGATCCGGAATTGGAGCACATGAAACAGTTCATGCATATGGCAAACACAAGTTCCTTTCGACATCTGAAATTTTATCTTCTCGGTTTCCGTTCGATCTTCTTTTCCGATTTATCGAAAAACTAACAATAGCGTCATTGTAACTCTTAATATATCGCTATAAATATCGAAAATGAAGCTATTCGAAGCTTTTCAACGCCACTGCGTTTTCAGTATTTCGGTCGGCCGCGCACTAAAAGCAATTGAGACCGATGCAGGCAAAACGCAACAAGCCCAGCATTTCTGTTATTGTGGAATTTTAAACTACGCTATTGATCTGGCTGTCGAACCAGCGCTCCTGGGTAAGTATCTATGCAGAAGAACTCCAACTGGAACATAATTTCCTTTCACGAAAATCGAACGATTTCGGTGAACGAATTTTACAACATATTCTGCTCGAAAGTTAGTCATGTTGGTTGCGCAGATGAGATATCTAATAAGATCAACAAGAAAGTAGAAATTGAAGTAAACGAATACGATTTATTCCCATTCCATCGTAAGAATCGAGATTCTTTTCTGAACATTTTCACTCTGGTACTAAATTAGATTATGATGATTTTTGGGACACTCTTTCCTCTTATCATGCTTTTATAATTCTCTCTTTTTTTCAAGAACATTGGAATGCCGCGTTACAAACTCTAGTCATGAATCTGAAATATGGACTGCGATTCGGCTCATTCATTTTCCGTGATTTAACACCGAAACGTTTGGCGAGATGATTCAATTGGTGCGCTGAAATTTTCGTATTGCTTTTGCCCCCCAAAATACCGCTTCAATTAATTGTTTTTCTTTTCAGCAATTTAAAAACGAAACGTAAACACGGGATTATATTTAACAGCTAAATAGTCCTTGCGTGTCTAGCTTGTTTTTTGCTTATGATAGAAATATACGTGCGGCTGGTATGATTCACGAAAAATTTTGGCCTCGCCGCATCAAAACTATTTAAATCCACCTTCAAAGATTACCTCCTGCCTGAAATGCGCGAAAAGTAATTACAAAATGATTAAGAAGAAAAACTTGCGTGCACTGAAAGTCACACGATATGTTCAAGACATGCAATCTGGTAGATGCATAGATTTTAACACTTTAATTTTTCTTTTAGAATTGGGGGCAATTCGAAAAAATATTACGATTCAGGACTGATTTAGCCCAGACCCGTTATATCGCATGTTCATGTTGAGGTCAATTTTCCGTGGACGCCGAGTAAACTGTAAATGTCAAGGTCACCTTAGCCTCGGGCTAGAGCCGAGGCGAAGTTATAAATACTGATTGATTCTCATGTTTGATAAACGCACGTGTGATAACAACAAACCTTAAAAAACCTCAGGCGTTTTAATTCTAGAGATTTCAGTTGTTTCAACAGCATCTAGAGGAAGAGGTTTCACGCATATGCGAACATTGTGGAATTACGCTGGAGAGTAAAAAGATCAAGGTAAAATATACACGAAACAAAAGATTTTAATATCACCAGCAGTCTGCATGGTAAACTATTTTTGTCTCATGAACTATTTTCAGTTTTCGTTATTTTCGATGAAAAATTCGATTTGTTCGCGAATTTCTTTCATTTTCCGGCCAAAACGCGAACACGATCTTTTCGCATAAGTTATTCAGTATCAACCAGGAATTGTGCACGTTACGTTTAAAAAAATTACAAAACCACGGAAACCTATTTCATATTCATCGACCAGGCCAATATGACATTGAACGCAAATAGAGGGAAAATATCTGCATGACAATACGCCACATTGTAACGTGATCAGTGTCACACACTATTTTCAATTCAGGTTTCTTGAATAAATGAATGATTTGTTCGTGGTGCGATCAATCGTTTGAAAAGGAAAGAAGCAAGACCAAGCAAGCGTTACTTAAAAAGTGAAAAGAAAAATCTTGCACAGGAAATGCGATGAAGTGAACAAATAGGCACTTCCTTTCACGCGAATGCGTGGTTTATGGAATCCCCCACGTGATCATAATACTAAGGAATGATTGGTGAATTGTATTCGTGGACGCCACGGCGTGCTTCACCGCTCCTTACCCCTCCAGTGAAGACAAGGCTTACTTGCATTTCAATGATTTCGACAATGAAAACTTCGTTTCTTTTATGCAGAAATTTACGGATTTAGTAGTTTGAAGTGCGTGGTTGGAGGTTATGGGTTTCTACCGCGGTAAAAGCTACTGAAAAACTGATGTTTTACGCCAGCTACGTCGCCTTGCAGCCCGACCATCTATCTGGCCTTTTGTTTTTGTTGTGAGCTTGAAAATTCACTTCTGTCACTCGTGTAGGTTATTTTTAGGCCGAAATTGAAAAAGTTGGCGAAGTTGGCCAGTAATATGCTCAATGGTTTCCCAGGTGGATGTCTTGAGCGATCGAGAAAAGGACATTTTAACGAATTATGACAGGTTAGGATTTTGAATGTGCCCGTTCGTGTCTCCAAATCTCCGTTTGGTGTCTTCACTTACCGATTGAACTAATGTGTCGTTTCCTTAGCCGTTTGTACGGATTTCTGCGAATTCAAGACCCCATTGGAGATCCTGCTCTGCCTGATCTGAACCACAAATCATTGTTGCTTAAGGTAAGGAAGAAAGTTTGAGAACTTTAAGCTCCAAATTTTCTACAGAGGTTGTGAATTGAACTCTGCATTATCTTTTGCGTTAGTCTTCAGTGACACTTCGCAAGGAGCATTTTAATTGTTAGCTAAGCGAATAATTGCGTGAGCTTACGTGGAGATGGAGCATTTATAATTTTACAGTAATCACTTTACATAAGTCATTTTGATTCCTTCTTCTATTTTCATTCAGGGTGTAGGTTTTTTCGAGAAGGAGCTGCAACAAGAAGGCAAGGGAATTCACCCGTCTGCTTTCTGCAAACTGGGACACATTCACCTGTTGCTGGAGGACTTTCCCAAAGGTATGGTAAAATTCCTGTGCTGCAGGCAAAATCAAACGTGTTGATGTGTTTTGCTAAAAGAAACACGGATATGTCATTGTGGATATTTTATATTCTTGGGCTGAAAAACCTTGCTCATTTCAATCGTTGCAGTCAGTGCACTTGAATGGTATCTCTGGCCTCGAGCATGTTGTCGCTGCTCTTTATAGTTCTGATGTAAGACCTTTATTGCATGTTATTCTGATCCATGGCTTTTCAACGTGTCATGCATTTCATTTTCAGCTCTCTCGGCGTATCAGAAGTTTTTCAACGTTCAACAAGTTGATTATTGGAAGGTAAGATATTTCATTTTTCGCGCACTCGTTAGCTCCCATGATTGCATACAATTTTTGATCATTCGTATATCAATAAACGAGGGTTTAATGCATTAAGATATGGTGGTAGAATATACCATAGATGTAGACAAAAGCGTGTGCAAATTTCATTGGTTAGACAAATAGAAACTGTAACACTGAATTGTGCTCCTGTTTTGTGTTATTTCGCTGAAAAGGCGTTCTTTTGTTTTCCATTTACAAGACTACATGTCTGTAAGCTTACTTCCAATGCAAGCTTGATGTAGTCGACGAGTTAAAAACTTTCTTCTAAACCACATCTCGAAACAGGATCGAAGGTTGTTCCTTCTATTCTGGATGCAAAAGCATCAACCTCGAACGTCGAGAAATTAGTCGTTACTCGAGATTTCGTTTCACATTTTTTCTAGTGCCAATTTTTCTCACTTAGTCCTCGAACCGCTCGTTGATTGCCAGACAAAAGATATTTGAGTTCATACATAATTGAAGGACAGAATTTTTCTAGCTATCAGTTTTCACCTCTTTGGCTAGAAGTAGAAAGCAGCTCGCGGAAACTTATTTACCATTGATATTACCACTCAGGGAAAATCCCCGTAAATTTATTGCCAATAAATATTTGGCGATTTATTATGCAGGTTAACAGCTTTATAATTTCATCATTTGTTTTGAATTAAGGGATTTCTTGAGCTGTACTTCTTTCATTCTTTATGGGAAATTTATGGGACTCTTGATTTCATTTTTCTGTGAAATTACAAAATTTGTACAGTTTTTATTTGTATTTTTAATTGTTGTTGGTTTTAAGCTTATGTACAGTGTATGAAATGCTACAACAAACAAGTTAAGGTGAAACGTACTTTCATTTCAAGATAGCAAAAACCATTTAGTAACTGTATGGAATGTGCATCAAATGTTGGCCTGAACACTAATTTGTTTTTCAATGAATAAAATGTAACTGCACAAAATCACCTGCTATTTTTGTGTCAGTCCTGATAAATGAGGATAAATGGAGCAAATTGTTGTTGGTGTTGTGCCAGAATTTCACAGTCATGTCTGGTTCATATGTAAAAGAGTTAATGGCATGTTCTAGAGGAGTATTGGAAATGCATTAATTTACTGGGTTTTGTTTATGTGGTACAACGGTAGTCAAAATATAGTAAGGTTATTCAGCATGGTCTTAGTGATGTTATAAGGGATCGAGTTGGCAAGGTTACGCTACGTTGGATTACATTACATGATTGACACCTGGACTATGTCATGTCATGTTAGTTGTAAATTCTGTTCTGCTGTCTGTTCTGGTCTAACATACATTGAAACTCACAAAACTGTTTTTTTTCTGGTACAAATACAATTAAGGCTATAAACTCTAGAAAATATTATTATTAAACTGAGTATTTTTAACCAATTGTCATCATCAGGGTTAAAGCCATCCAAGATTGTGCAGAGTTTTATACTTACACTATTCTCAAAAAAAACAACTGTGCAACATAAATAGCAATTAATTTGTTTGTTCAAAGTTGGACTCTTTTCTTGCATGATTAGTCCTTCAATGATCTTCTTGTTGAAGTATGATCTTGCCAAACAAAAGACTTTCTACCTATTGAAAATTTGTGAGTTGAGTTTTCCAGTTTCCACAGCAGATGGTGATGTGGTGGTTCTGAGTTGAGACAGGTATTCAAGTGTTCAGTGAATCATTCTAGGAAATGCTCGTTTTCATCATTCCCTCTTATACATTAAGTTATGGAAAAGATGTCTCATAAGTTGCGTAAATTGATTGGATTGGGGTGGGGGATGGGGTAGGGTGAGGCGAAGTGATCATTTTTAAAGATGGAAATGTTAATATGACTACTGACTCTTCACTTTGTATTCATTATTAGATGTGCATGAATGTAAAAAGCTATGTATATTCCTGCTGGTATTAATTAAGTTTACAGCAGACAAATTGCGGCTGCTATTACCAGGATCTTGCATGCCCTTAGGGGGTCACCTTTTTCCAAAAGTACAATGTATGTAACAACAACTTTATGTGGTTTACAACTTTATGTGGTATTTCACAATAAATGTCATTACCAAATACAAATTCAAGATAAAGATTTAAAATGGGAAAGAATTTATCAAGGGTCAGCAATTACGTGTATGTAAAGGACCAATATTTAAATTTGTCTAGACCTGAACTTTTCATTACAGTTCTTTCACTTTCATCTACTTGTGACAATGATTTATTTTTATGCTTTGTAACTGCTTTGCATGTATGGTAGTTTGTACATATGAACAGTCAATACATGTATATATTACTGTGCTCTGACAAAGAACTAACAGTTGAAAAGTCAGCTTAAGTAGCTCACTATTGTATTTGCAACTCTCCCGGATACAAACTGAATCTCCTGGTCTCCTATACGACTCACCAAACCTTCCTGGATTCAAAGGAAAACACTTATTTTAGTTGATTTTTTGCCTTTTTTGGTGGAAAATGTTTGGAATATTTGACGCATTTTTTGTAGCTGAATTGGAGAAGGAACTACTTTTAACGATGTTTTTTGACTGTTAA